CACACGCACACACACATACACGCATACACACATACACGCATACACACATACACGCACACTCATGCCATTACACAAAACTACACAAGCACATGACTAACCCTAGAAATATACATAGACACACGCAAAAACAAATACACTCATACATAGATAAAAACAAAAAAACATACAATAACATGCATACAAAAACACATACAAACATAAAATCAAACAAATATAAAATCACATACATGCACAACCGCATACAAACAAACATAGAGATGTGAGAATCGTTGATGCGTAACAATAGTGAAAGTTCACCTGGTTCATATTTGTGTGATGTGAGTACATTCGTTCTCCACTTTTTGTATGTTTTTGTATGTCTTTGTATGCTTGTATGTTTCTGTATGTATCACACTCACACACACACACACAAACACACAAACAAACCACACGTCACACACAAACAAACCACACATCACGCACATACAGACCACACATATTTATATACATATACACACCACACCTGCATACACATATAAACATACATCACACCAAACATATACACACATTTAAACACGCACATAAATGCACACATGCATACACATACACATAGACGCATATTCAATCATTTGTTTGTTTTAAAATAGCTAAATAGCTCCCATCTAGGTGAGCTGTTAATCAACACAGGCAGAATAAACACAATAAGAAAAACTGTACCAGCAACTTTTTATCCAAAACATCATCCGAAACGAACTAACCTTTTTTTTTATATAGGATCCATCTATTTAATCTATCTATATATCTATCTATATATCCATCTATAAATCTATCTATATATCACCCATCTCATCTATCTATCTATCTATCTATCTATCTATCTATCTATCTATCTATCTATTTATCTGTATCTACTTATCTTTAGGGAGTTGTTAAGCTCACATAATGTAATTTGATGTATGCGTTTATGTGTTTATGTGTGAGCGTGTGTAAAATTAATATTGCATATCATTATTACAATACAGTATAATGTAGTATATTGTTATTATTTTTTTTCAATTAGCAATAATTTAACTTCCGTTAAAAGAACAAACAGTTCACAAACTATCAACTGGCCAGTTTGCAAATACATAAATACACATGAAAAGAAATCATATTAAAATAACTATTTCCTATTTATACTTATGCTTTATGTAGGTTTGTATATATATATATATATATATATATATAGAGAGAGAGAGAGAGAGATAAAAAAAGAGAGAGATAAAGAGAGAGAGTATAAATATATATATATACGTCCTTAATATGAGAGTTTAACGACAAACAAATCTAGCAAAGATAACATATCGAACCGTTTTTCATCGTAGGTGTGGCTGTTTGTGTTTGTTGCTGATGTTGCGTATGTGTGTTTGTGTGTGTTTTTTGTATGTGTGTGGGTGTTTATGTGTGTGTGGGTGTTTGTGTGTGTGTGTGCGTTTTTGTATGTTTATACCAAATTATATGTGATTGTACGTTTTGTTTACGCATGAGTTTGTATGTAAACGGCTTGTGTGTGTGTGTGTGTTTGTGTGGTGTTTATGTGGGTTTGTGTGTGGTGTGTGTGTGTGTGCGCACGGTTCATTGATTGAGTGGAGCCATTGATAGGATAACAAAAAATAAGCATGTTGTGAATAAAAAAAATATGAAAATAAAAAAGACTATATCGTCGAAACCGTTCTGCTTGGGTTTTTTCGTTTTAAAGGTCAGAAATAGATTGAACAATCCTAAACCGGTAAACTTTGGTTTTATCATTTATTACTATTACTATTACGATCATTTTTTACAACAACTACAACAACAACAACAACAACTACTACTACTACTACTAATACTATTTCTACTACTACTACTACAATTATTACTATCATTACTACTACCAATTCTACCACTACTATTACTACTAATCCTATAACTACTACTACTACTACTACTACTACTACTACTACTACTACTACTACTACTACTACTACTACTACTACTACTACTACTACTGCTACTACTACTATTACTACTAAAACCACTCCTA